TCTTTCAAACCATGTAGTATCGAAACTGTTTATATTTCTTTAACTCAGTATATTCCAAAGTGTGGTATATATTCAAATGGGTGATGCATGAGATGATTTTAGAAAGTGTGTAAATGTAAGTTTCAAACTTTACTGGTTACACATATTTATTTTGATGTCAGTTAGCAAATGTATATCACTAGCACATCAAACCTGTGATTGCACAAATATTGTTCAGGACTCATTCATTTATCTCAGACACATTCACTGTGGACCTACTCAATACTCTAGATGCTGAGGATATAGCAGTAAGTAAAGTCCCTGCTCTCATAAATTTATATTTTAGTGGGGAGCAACAAAAACTCAAAGAAACAAATAAATAAATTGAACATTTATAAACACATGTTCAACAGCAAAAGGTAGAATAAAGAAAAAGAGCTGGGCAGGGGGGCAGGGGGACAGAAGTGACAGGGGTGGAGTGGATACGAGTGTAGGGAAAACCTCTCAGACAGAGGGACGCTTGAACAGAGATCTAAATGAAGGAGACTGTAATTCTGCAGGAAGAACGTGCTCAGCAGAGAGAACAGCAAACACAAATCCCCAAGGTGGGAATGCACCTGGTACCTGAAGAAACTGTTCCAAGCTCCAGGACTACAGACAAGCTCTGAAGGATGCTTTTTAAAATTAATTAAATTCATATTCCACAATATTTGCCCTTTTAAAGTATACAAGTCAGTGCTTTTTAGTACATACACAAAGTTGTTCTATTTTTTTCAAGTGATGATTTGTTTTGGTTCTGGTCAAGATGGAATATGGGCGACCAGATTTACCTTCTTACCTGAAATAACCAAAAAACAGACAAAATATATGAAACTGGATTTCAAGACATCAGACAACAGGCAACAAAGGACAGTGACTCCTGGGGGATGGGATAAAAAAGAGGGCACCTGTGAGTGCCCAGCTCACTGCCCTGAGCACTGCCAGGCTGCAGTGCTGAGGGGAAGCCCAGGGATAAAGAACGTCATTTTATAATATAAAAGGGTCAGTTCATCAAGCGAATGTACTCATCCTAAGCACGAAACAGTTAATAACAGAGCATCAAAATACATGCAGCAAGAACTGATCAAAGTAAAAGGGAAAAAAATAGACAAACCCACAATTAAAGTCTGAAATTCAACACCCCTCTCTCAATAATTGAGGGGACAAGTAGAGAGACGATCAATAAGGATACAGAAAACCCAGGAAACACTACTTACAAACTTGATACAGTTGACATTTACGGAACACCACACCCAACAACCACAGGATACACATTCTTCTCATGTGCATGTGGAACATTTACCAAGATAGACCATATCCTGAGTCATAAAACAAGCCTCAATAAGCTTTAAAGAATTCAAATAATATACCGTACATTCTCTGACACAGTGACACTAAAATAGAAATCAATGACAGAAAGATCTTTGGAAAATTCCTAAATAGTTGAAACTAAATAATATACTTCTAAATAACTTATGGGTCAAAGAAGATATCAAAATGGAAATTAAATGGTATTTTTAACCTAATGAAAATGAAAACATATTAAAATTTGTGGGACACAGCTAAATGAGTAGTAGTTAGGGGAAATTTATAACACAAAAATGAATATTTTATTAAGCAAGAAATGTTCAAATCAATGATATCAGCTTCTACTTTAAGAAGTTAGAAACAGTATAGAAACTTAAACCCAAAGTAGTCAGGCAAAAGAAAATAAAAAACATAAGAGTGGAAAGCAATAAAACCATATAGGAAAAATCAATTGACTCAAAAACTGGTTCTTTGTGAAAACCAATGATACTGATAAATCTCTAGTCAGTCTGATTAGGAAAAAAGACAAAACACAAATTACCTATATCAGAAATGAGAGAGGCAACAGCACTATGGATTATACAGAATATAAAAGGATAATAAGAGAATATTATGAACAACTCAATGCCAATAAAATTGATAAGCTTGATGAATTGATCAAGTTTTTAACAGACACAAACTACAAAAATTCACTGGAGAAGAAACAGATAACCTGAATAGCCCTGTATCTATTTTAAAAATTGAATTTTTAGTTTAAAACCTCCCATAAAGAAAACTCCAAGCTCAGATGTTTTCATAGGTGGATAATACTAAACATTTAAGGAAGAAATAATACCAATATTGTTCAAAGTCTTCCAGAAAATTGAAAAAGAGAGCGTACTTCTGAGATCATTCTAAAAACCAGCATTACTTAAACATTACAAGAAAACTACAAACCAATATCTCTCAAGAAAATAGATGCAATAATTCCAAAAAAAAAAAAAAGGTGAGGTTTATCTACAATACAATGCTGTTTTAACATTAGAAAAATTAATCAATGTAATTTACTATATCACAGACTAAAAAGAAGAACCCCATATAATTATCTCAATAGACACAGAAAAAGCATGTGACATGTGCAAATGAACAAATCTAACATGTACTCCTGATAAAAACTCTCATCAAACTAGGAATACAAAGGAGCATCCTCAATTCAATAAAGGATATCTGTAAAAACTCTACAGCCAACATCATACTTAATGCTGAAAGACTATAGGCTTTCTCCTTAAGATCAGAAACAAGACAACATTAATTCAATGAAATAAGGCAAGAAAAAGAAATAGAAGCCATCCAGATTGGAAAGGAAGAGGTAAAACTATCCTTTTTCACAGACATGGTCATCTCTGCGGAAAATCCAATAGAATCTCCAAAAATCCACTAGCACTAATAAGTAATTAGCAAGGCTGTAGGTTACAATATATAAAATTCTATTGTATCTCTATATACTAGCAACAAACATTAAAAACTGAAATAAAAACTAGTGTCATTTATAATACAAAGGTAGGTATAAATCTGACAAAATATGTAAAAGACCTATGCACTCCAAACTACAAAATAACTGACGAGAGAATTAAGGAAGACTTAAATAAATGGAGAGAGACACTGTCTTCATAGATTGGAAGGCTCAGCATTGTTAGGATGTCAGTTCTCCTCAAACTGGTCCATAGTGGCTCAGACTGTAAAGCATCTGCCTACAATGTGGGAGACCCGGGTTCAATCCCTGGGTCGGGAAGATCCCCTGGAGAAGGAAATGGCAACTCACTCCAGTATTCTTGCCTGGAAAATCCCATGGATGGAGGAGCCTGGTGGGCTACAGACCATGGGGTCGCAAAGAGTCGGACACAACTGAACGATTTCACTTCCACTTCCACTGTCTTCATAGATTGGAAGGCTCAGCATTGTTAGGATGTCAGTTCTCCTCAAACTGATCCATAAATTCAACATAATCTCAATCAAAATCGAGAATTTTAGAATTTAACTGATTCCAAAATTCATACAGAAATGAGAGAAACTAGGCTATCCAAAACAGCTTGAAAAAGTATATGAAGTTGGAGATTTAACCATACCTGATTCTAAGACTTATTATAAAGCTACAGTTAACAAGATGGTATGCTACTGGTGTTAAGACAGACAATAGATCAAACAAATAGAATACACAGACAATCAGTTTTCATCAAAGGTACAAAAAAGACAATTCATTGGGGAAAGGACAATCTTTTCCACAAATAGTGCTTGGACAAGTAAGTGTATGTCCACATACCCAAAGATTAACTTTGTCCCATATCACACCACATACAAAAACTAATTCAGATCACAGACCTAAAGGTAATACCTAAAACCATTAAATTTCTAGAAGAAAACATAGGAGAAAACCTTTGTGACCTTGGGTTAGGAAAAGATATCTCAGACACAACACCAGAAGCACAATCCATAGAAGAACAAACTGATAAACTGAACTTCATCAAAATTAAAAACTCTTGTCTTTGAAAGACACTGTTAAGAGAACAAAAAACAAACCAAAGACTAGAAAAATATTTGCAATTCACATATCTGATAAAGGACTTGTATCCTGGTGGTTTTCAAAGACTCGCCTCATAGCATAACACTCTATGATTAATGGCTCTTTGTTTCAAGAGTCAAAACAGTACAAAGTAAGGATCAGTAAGAATCTAGAACAGTGGTTCTCTAATTTCACCACCAGTGAAGTGAAGTCACTCAGTCGTGTCCGACTCTTGGCGACCCCGTGGACTGTAGCCTACCAGGCTCCTCTATCCATGGGATTTTCCAGGCAAGAGTACTGGAGTGGGTTGCCACTTCCTTCTCCAGGGGATCTTCCTGACCCAGGGATCGAACCCGGGTCTCCCGCATTGCAGGTAGACGCTTTACCGTCTGAGCCAGTAGGGCTTGTTAAAACATAGATTGCTGGGCCCCAACCTCAGAATTTCTGAATCAGTAGGGACTGAGGGTTTACATTTCTGCTAAGTTTCCTGCTGGTGAACTGCTACTCCAGACCAACATAGACTAAACTAGAAACACAATGTCAAATGCAAGCTTTCCCAGCCTGTCCTAGGGGCAGTTACCAAATAAACTATGCTTATTAAGAAAAAAGTTGATTTCCTACTTTTTAATTAGTTAGTGCTCAGTTGTGTCCAACTCTTTGCAGCCCCATGTACTGTAGCCTTCCAGGCTCCTCTGCCCATGGGATTTTCCAGGCAAGAATACCAGAGTGGGTTGCCATTTCCTACTTCAGGGGACCTTCCTGACCCAGAGATCGAACCCGGGTCTATTGGATCTCCTGCATTGGCAGATGGATTCTTTACCACTAGCGCCACCTGGAAACTTCTTAATCAGCTAGAGATATCTGTAAATGTTAATCAGAGCTTCTGATCAGAGAGAAATAACAACCATGACATCACTGAGTCAGCATGATTCTAAGCCTTGCCTCTTTGTTGAATACACATTTTGGTTTCTACAAAGCTGTTCAGAATTCACCCTGGAAAACACGCACAGCCTTACACCAACCATCCCATAATGGCAACATGGATGAAACCAGCACACCGAGATGAAAAACTGTCAACTTTCCCTAAACCTGTATTAATGCCCCACCCCCATGCAGGGCTGTCATCAAGTCTCACCGTCCAAGATGGCCCATTGATTGTCAATCTCTGTATGTTTCAGGTAAGAGTCTTCGATGGTGGGGTCGTAGTCAGGCACAAAGATCTTCTGGAAAAACTGGATGGTGAGGGCACTCTTGCCCACACCCCCATCTCCCACCACCACCAGCTTGTATGTGGGGAGGTTGTCGCTGGGGACTGCACTCGTTGCCATGTTGCTGGTTGGTCAGACCTGGGGAGGCAAGACACGTGGAATGAGGCAGGGGGCTTCTTCCTCTTTGACTTAGGGGAAAATATTCACAGGGTTTCCTTTTTTCTTCTTTTGAAAATGAAGACCTGCAAAAGAAAAGTACCAACCCTGATCCCTCACCCAGAGACTGTAACTGTTAAAATGACTTATTCAATCATTTACTGGAAACCAACTATGTGCCAGGCCTGGCCTTGGGGACATAATACTAGTAGATGCCATGGAGTCTTTAACCAGCCAAAGGCCATGTCACACAAGCTATACCACCACTGAATTCTGCACTATATTCCTGTACAGCTAAACACATGGGCATTGGTCTGGGCAGGGAGGGCATAGAGGTTCACCTTTCACATCGAGTCTGGTCATTGGATTGAAGTGCTGAGAAGGATGGGAGGTTTTCTGAGCTCAGTGGAAAGAGGAGCACAAGAGCTTAGCACACCTGTGCTCAGAGTCCTAAGTCCCTTCTGACTCTCAGAATTCGGTGATCCTGGTTCCAGTCTCTGGCCAACTTGCCTTTGATCATACAGAAAGTCATGTGAGAATGTCATGACATCTGGTCAACCCATCTTTTAGTTGGGGAGGAAGAGGAGGAGGATCAGAGACAAGTTTTATGTTGATGGTGTTGAGTCCAGAGAAGGCAATGGTTGTTAACCAGGGGCAAAATGCAATGCCTAGAGATGTATTTAGATGCCAAAACCAAGTGAGTGCTACCAGCGTCCCATCAGCAGAGGTGAGGGATGCTGCTAAAATTCCCAGGGAATTCCCCCTTCCAGCACACAATTATCCATCCTAAAATGTCCAGAGTGTCAAGGTGACTAGGCAGGGGCTGGAAACATGGGACCAAGATTCCAAAAGACAATTGAGCCTGAATAGCTCAGGACTGGCTGTGCAGAGGAGACAGGAGAGACATGAAGAGTGGTCTTTGGAAACTGTATCACAAAGTGACAAGGAGAAGAGCATGGAGCATGGAAGGAGTACTCAGAAAAACGGAGGGAAGCTAGCACCTGTCACAGCAAAGGGAGCCCAGAGTTTCCAGAAGGAGGACGGTGACAGCACCAAGGCTCAACACTGGTGGGGGAAACAGGAGGAGAGTCATCTAAGGAAGAATTTGAGGGTGTTGCCAGAGACCTAAGGTGCTCACTGCAGATGCTGCTGGAGGGAAGCACAAACTACCTGGGGTGAGCCATCCCCAGGTAGCTTCAGGGCTGGTAGAAGGGTGGGGGGTGGCATGCCAGGAGAGAGTGAACAGCTGTCCTGTTTGCATCTCTGCTGCTTGGGAATGCCACCAATTGAGCCACAGTTTCCTTATCTAATAGAGTAAAGGGCTGAGTTTTCACAGTTGTTCTTAGCTCCAAGAGTCCTCCATTCTAGATTCCAACAGAAAGGGTGTTAGACACAAATGTGGATTACGAGGCCACCCTGATTTGCATGGGGCTATAGGCGATTGTGCAGTTACTGAAGCTTGATGTAGACATTTAGGATTTCCCTGCAGTGGTGGGGGAGTAGGCATTTTTATACATTGCGTATGAGAATATAAATCTGTCCAAACTGGGCTGAGAGTACACTTGCATAGATATGTCAAAATTTAAAATGGACATATCCTCTTGTAAAGCTATACCACATGTGAGAATGTAGTCCAAGGAGGTAATTAAACAAGTGTACAAAGATGTTAAGAACAGGGGTAAAAATGGAAATAAATACTGGGTAGATGGGGGAAGAGTTAAGGAAAAGTTTATCCATACAATGAAATACTAGATAGTCATTAAAAAAGAATGCTATTGACTAGCCTAGAGAAGGTTTACAATATATATTTTAAAAAACAAGCTGCAAAACAGTAAGTACATATGACTACATTTCCACGAAGTTACCTACTTATGAATCTACATGTCTAGTGTGCTTCCAGGCACAGTCAAGAGGATTGGCACGTAGCTGTCTCTAACGCAGATTTGGGGGCACTTTTTCAATTTTCTACAATAAGCATGTATTCTATTTGTGTATTAGAAAAGCCGGACAATATTATGAATGTTCAGGCCACCTGGAAATGTGCGGTTCCCTCTCCTTTTGAGTGGAAATTTAAGCTCCCCTGGTGCAGGATAAAAGGACCAGGTGCCAGCTAAGCCCCAGCATCTGGCTCCCTCATCCCCACAACAGGTAAGGATAATGGTGGGGATAAGCTGTGGTTTCAACACACTGAGCTTTCCCACATGACAAAGCTGGTGGTCCCATGGGGCCAGAGGGGTGTTGAGGGAGACAGAAATGGGGTGGACGGTGGGGGAGCGTATGGGCCACTCTCTGTCTTCTCTGCCTCTCCTTAACCGCTGACCTAGTCTGAGGAGGGAGGTGACACTTGGGCCAGAGTGAATGTGTCTGCCTGTGAGAGGCTGTTTTTAAAGCTCCCTTCCAAGGAGATATAAACTACTATGCATAAAATAAATATGCTCCCAGGATATAATGTATATAGCATAGGGAATACAGTCAATATTTCACAATAACTTTAAATGGAATATAATTGATAAAAATTTTGAATTACTATTTTGTACACTTACAACTAATATAATATGATAAATCAACTATACCTCAATTAAATAAAGTAAAATAGATAAAATTGAAAGCTATCTTCCCTTCTCGATGGCAGCAACGTGAATAAAAAATACTACGCGGGTGGAAAGGTATCAGGAAGAAAAATAGTTTCTCTTGATTTTCTTCTCAAAAAACAAGAAATACATCATAGATATGATAGAGGACATGAATCCAACCTTCGAGGCAGCGCTCAAACCACCCACAGCAGAATCACCTGGGGACCTGACAAAATTGCCCTCTGCCTGCAAACGATATGGCAGGAAACAGATGAGGGCCGATTTCCTTTCACAGTGCCCCACACTCAGGGGTTAAGCCCAAGAGATCACAGGGTGGGGGTCAACTCAGAGTTCCCTCCAAACTCAGACTCAATGGAACAGGGTTAGAAAGCATGGTTAACACAAACACTGGACTGGTCCCTCATAGCGGAAAACCCTTCAGAGCTTCCCATAGCAGATGGGGATTCACTGGACATTTATGGCTGACCTCTCACACTGCTCTCTCCCAAGCAACTGTGTTTTCCAGTGTACCCTGAGGTCATGCGGTGCCCTTTGCCCACCCCACCCCCACTGGGGCCCTGGGGAAAGAGCTCAGGCCCAGGAATCGCCTCCCATGGGCGGTGCCCCCTCCGACCCATGCCCCACAGCTCCTGGTGCAGTGACCCCCACTACTTGCAGAGGACTTGAAGTCCTCTACACTAACTGCACATAACAGGGGAGGGCTGCATCTCATCCCTCCATCACCTGGCCTGGCACAGCATCAGCAAGGACAGATGTTAGCTAGAGGTACCAGAGCCCATCAATGGCTTTTTTTTTTTTTTTGGCTGCACCAGATCTTAGTTGTAGCATGTGGGATCTTAGGGCCCTGACCAGGGATCGAACCCAGGTCCCCTGAATTGGGAGCAAGGAGTCTTAGCCACTGGACCACGAGGGAAGTCTGAACAACCATTAGACGACCCACCACATAGAGCCAGCCTCTCCACACAGAGGGTTCGGATACAGCTCACTCAGGCACAGGTTGGGACTGTCTCCCTCCCTTCCCAAGCATGACTGGTCACACAGATAAGACCCTCCTGGTGCCAAGTGTGAGCCTAGGAGAAAAAGAAGGTTTGCAAGGGTGGGACTGGAGTCCAGAAAACTCCCCAGTCCGTAAGGGCTCTTGGGCAGAACCTTCCCTGAAATAATCCCTGACTCAAAGGATGTCTTTGTAAACAGGGAAGGCAGTCAAAATGCCAAGGGGCGTGCACCACCCTCCTACAAAGTCGGCTGATCTCACGTGGTGTGGAGAAAGATTTTTGAAAGTCACCACAGGGTAAAAGGTTGGTTGGTGGTTAAGTAGCAAACTGTTCCCATTTACATCCCTCTCCTCTCCGGCCTGTTCAACTAGATAGCATCTTGGACATCATTCTAGAACATTGTTTCTTCACCATTTGGGGGTCACAGACGGCCCCTCGGAGGTGGGAGGGTGAAATAAGGTGGGTCTGGGGCTCCCTTTAAAGTCTCCCCACCGATTTTCCATGTCTGATACTCTCCCAGCCCACCAGCTGAGTGACCTTGGGCGAGTTAACCTTTTGCAGCCTCAGTTTTTATTAACACTTGTAAGACGGGGTTGGCTAGAGAACCATCTTTTGCAGGATCGCTCTAGGCATGAAATTAAAATGTTTGAGAGGAGCCCGGCTTAGAGAAGGTGCTCAAATGTCTGTTCTCTTGCCTTGTTTACTTTTTTCCCAGAAGAGAGACCCACAGCCTCCCTCCCTCCACTCTAGGGGCTCGGCAATTCCCAGCCTCCTCCCCTGCCCCCATCAGCAGCCCCACTGCCACCTCAGCTCCCTTGCAGTCGGATTAAATAGGCTTCTGTGGCAACGTCACCCATCATTTAGAACATTGTTTCCATGGGAAATGGCTCTGAGGTTCCAGGCAGCCCGCTCCACTCAGAAACCAACTTTTGGAACAGCAGCCACGGGGCAGAGGAGGCGGCTGAATGCGGGTTGCCGTGGAAACCACCGCTCGCAGAACCCCTCCCAGTGCACAGGCAACCCAAATTCTACCTCATATTGGAAACTTCTTCCTAAAAGGCAGTATCACTGCCTGGACGATTTTAGTGACGTGTATGTGAAAACTTTAGGCATCTTTCAGCTGAGAAATAAGCTTCTCTGGTGGCTGTCTTTTGCTCCTTTTCTCTCCCCAGAATTAGCACCATTCTGCATGGGTTGAAGTTATTTCCTGAATGGCAAATTCACCTCCCAGCAACTGGGGAGCTCCACGCGGGCAACAGCCACGTCTCCTCAATCCTTTGCTACTCATGCAGCCAGGCAGGGCCCAACACATGGATACCCCTTAGAGTGTATTTGACTACTCAGTACTGCCCAGAGCAGCCTTCCACCCAGCCCG